ATGCCTGCACGAGCTCCTTCACTTGCCACAAAGTCTGTCTGCTTTTCCAGACAGAATGCATTGCTGCTGGGCACAAATGCCACACCTAATCTCATCCTGCCTGAACCTGTGCAACTCCAGTGGAACCAGGAGATGCTGAAGCCTTGGGTGTGCTGAGGGCCTGGCTCATCACTTCTGCACATCACCACAGAACCTACTGCTCCAATCCCTGCTCTGCAGAGGGAAGGGAGCTGTGAATTAATGTAATTCAGGCACCACGACTTCAATCCTTCCGAGATTTCTTAATGCTTGGCTCTACAAGCTTAGCATTCTTTTCCCTTAGGAAATACCTATAAAACTACTAAATTAAATTGGAGATGGTAAAAGGGGACACCTTTACTTATGCAGGAGGGTGAGACCTGGGAGATTCATCATGAGATCTTTGCAGCCTAAGCAGTGGGGCAACTTCCAGTAACAGCAGATTACATCACTTATTAGGATTTTGCTTAGGCAGTGTTGAATTGCTCAGAAACATTTTAATAGCATTTAACTTCATGCTGAAAATACTGATTTATTGCACTCCAGTGTGAATAGGCATGTCTAAGGACAGAGCACGCTACGTTTTCAGATGTCAGCAACTGTGGGGTTTTGTTAACATCATTTAAGTGATTAAACGTCTTTGAACGAAAAGGCTTTAAGGCTATTAAGTCAAAACTGAATTAATTTATACTGAAAATTACAGCTTGGGAAAGGTCAAAATAAAAATGAAGTATTTTCAGATTCACCATAATAAGACACTTTGATTAACCTCTATTTTTGTACAATTTTCACTTGTATTTTACCACAGCATGTGTGAAAAAATGCTGGAATTTTGAGTAACTGATCAGAACTGAGTTTCTATTTAGCTCTAAGACTGGGGACCTGGCCTCATGAATCACACAGAGCAAAAAGCATTGTCCAGAATTCAGAATTAAAGTTTGCTATACATAAACCTTGTGACATTTTTATTACAGCATACCAGTCTGGAATCTGCATTTAAAACACTGACTGCTCAAAGGAATCTAAATCTCTTTAGCTAAAAGTAATAAAATGAGGTCAAAAATTCACTACTCAACAATCTACCATTAGCATTTCTGCTCAGAAAAAATGTAGTTCATCTATTTTTAAAGAAAGTAAAGGCAGGGCATATAACATAAGTTTGGGAAATATAATGATTTGCTTGTGTATGGAAGCCCATTAGGTAACGAGCTTCATTTCCTCATAAAGAGATTTCAGTGCATCTACACCAGGATTTTTTTTACAGCACACACAGTACTTGTGTAAGCCAGAGGTGGGTCTGCATTTTACACAGCCCATGGTTTCAGCTTGGCCTCCATGACCAATTAAATCACAACACCAGAGAGCACACAGGGTCTGAGCTGGATCCTGCTTGGGGTCAGCTCTTCTCAGTCCTGAGGAGCTCTGTGCTCCCAGAGACATTCCACTGACAGTGGCCACAAAACTGGCCAAAGTTAAGTGGGACACACCTGCTGAAGCTGACACAATGCTACTGAGGATAAAGCAGTCTGATACTGGCCATAAAAGAAAAGGAGTTTTACTTGCAGTAATCAATGTGGAAACATATCTTTTTAATTTAATTTCTTTGGATTCTTAATGGTGGAAGCAAAACTTAATTTCTGCTAGAGCATCCTTTAAAATAAATGCTTGATCTCTTCCCACCCACCATTACAGCTGATGGGCACAAAGTAAAAAGAACAGCAATTCATTCACCTTATCACTGGAGCACCAGAGGAAGCGAGGGATCCTTAGTGCAATGATTAATGACTCACTATAAAAAGATGCATCATAAACTGCTTGTATTAGGTTAAATCATAAACTAGGCTTTCAATGTTTATATGATCCCTTTCTAAATAATTAAGTGTGTCTGTAGCTCCCACTAGGAATGGAACTCACATGATGCTTGCAAACCATGCAGTTTCTTACAGGGTCATAATTTGGGTCCCTCACTTAAAGGGATTCCTGTCTTCCTCCACATTCAAGCACTGCTTGAATTTCTCTTCCTATTGGGACATCTCTCTGTACTACAGGACAGAGAGACCATTTGATGTTCAGGAGCAGCAAAAATTATCTACCCTGAATTTAGGGTGTCTTCAGCCTGTGCTTATGAAGGGCAACTCATCCACAGAGGAGTCAGCCAAGACTGGATGCTGTAATTTCCTGTGTTTAGGTGCTAATAATAACTCCCATCAGCTTCAGTAGCTGGTTGGAGAACAGTGAGAGAATAGCACCATTTGTCCTACCAGAATCCCCCCAATTTATCCACCTTGTGGTGAAACTGTCACCTTTAAAAAATATAGTACAAGGTGACATTATGTAAGTGTTCATCTATTTCCTTACTATCACAAGCCTGCAAATGTGCCCATCTCCCTTTTATTTCCCAGAACAGCTGATGCTTTTTCTCAACCAAAGCAGAATCTGCCTCTCTTGGCAAACAGACTTTGGCTCAGCATACAGTCCCCCCATCAGGAGAATGCTGCAGCTCTAACCACTGTGAAGTTTACACAGAAAATAATAGGACTTTAAAAAAGAGCTGCAGAGCCCCTAAATATTTTCAGTAAGCACACTGGGTAGCCTTAGTCTTTTTCTGCACTGCTTATTCATATTCAATAAAGAAAACCACTCAGGTTAATTATTTTAATATTTCCATCTGTGGAATTTAGAAAAGGGCAACTGTGGAATACCCAAGATCATGATTTTTTAATAAACAATAGATTTCATGGGAATTAGCTGGGTTATCAAAAAGTTATCCTCCCAAATCAGCTCATTAGTTTCACTGACTTTCCCTATTTCACTTTATTAAAACAACTTAAACAAGGTTCACTAGATGCAATGTAATCTATCTCAGGCACTCCAAACCTAATCCCTCTTCTCTTAGCAGTAACATGATAATAGTTTGCAAAAAAGTTAAAAAGGATTATTTTTACAGCTGTTTCAAATAGGGACTGTTTTCATCCAAGCATGTGCCACGACTCTCCCTACATCTTATTATTTATTATTATATTAATTTTTGTTCTTTACTTATTTGTTCATTTATTGATTCCTTTTTCTATCTTTCATTGTTTCCCACAAGCAGTCACACATGGTCAACAGCATGCCCCTGTGCAGGTGGGGAGGATGCACCAAATATCCCTGCATGGGTCACTGCACCAGAAAGGAAAGAAGTGATTTTTTTTTGCAATTTACTTGTAGGTTCTGGAGTTAAAAAAACCCAACTTGGCAAATTCACAGTGGTTTTATAAATAGCCTAGAGAGAAGGGAGAAGGTTCCTGTGCATTTTCACACTGTTAGTTTCTGACAGCTCTGAAAGACACACAGGAGGGGATCACACATAGGATTTGCAAATTAGGAGGCAGACACTGTGTATTACTTACCATGATGGATCCAGGCTGGAAACACAGAGTAACAGACCTGTGCTATGGACACACAGCTTATTTCACAGCAAACTCACTCTTGTACTTTCATAAAACCTTTTCCAAACAGTAGGGTTAGCTTTTCTTATAGGGGAAAAAAAACCCAATCAAAATAAAACCCAAAGGAAGAGAGCTGGTTTATAGATCCAAGGTTTCTCTAGGCTTTAACAGGTCCTATCCCTGAAACCCCGTCCTCTCTCACCTCAAATCCTTGTCTCTTCAAGCAAGTGCTATTTCATAATCCTATTAAAACCTTTGCCTCTGTTTACCAGGAGCCCTAATGGTTCTCAGCAAGTTCTCCTGGCCTAAGGAAGAGTGACAGCTTTCAGATTTCTTAGGAGGCTTATTCATCAACCACACCAGAGTTTTGCCAGAGTGTTCAATCTATTCTGGGAGCAGCCATGTGGAAAAAGTTTCAAACAGCTCAAAGCCCTGCACAATGATAAAGGAAAGCTCACACAATCCTGGTAATAGCCTGACCCTCTTAAGGAAAATTGGATGATTTGTGGTAGCAGTTTTTCTGTCCCCTATGTGAATTCTGAACCTTAACGTATAAGCAGTGTATTCACACAGTCCCATTACAAACCCCATCCCTCTTGCAATGCTGGAATAATAAATACACACCCATATGTGAAAATAAACTCTTGCTGCACTGACCTTCCTCCTCAGCCCAGTGGTGTGAAGGAGTTTGTAGCCATTTTAGAAAAGAAAAAAGAGCCAGATAAAGAATGGACTAATTTGATGTTCAATGTTTCACCATGAGCAGAATATATGCTTTAATGAGCACATTACATGCACCAGGGACATGTTACTGGGAAGCAGGGGATAAAGAGTAAAGGGAAAATAATTAAACAGTCAGCTTTATAATGAGGAAACTCTGTTCATGCAACATTAAGCGGCCTAATTTTCAAACGCTAAGCAAAGACATGTTCCTTGGGCTTCAGGGGGACTTGCTGGCAAGCACCACCTTGAAAACAAGGACATGAAATCACAGGTATCAAACCTCCTTTAGGTCCAGGCCACAGGGACAGATGCTGTTCCAAAGTCATCTGTCCACACTTCACACTGACCTGTCCAATAGGATTGAATACCTTCACCCTGTAGTTCTTATTCTGTAAGGAGGATCCTTAGAGTTGTAAATATCCCATCATTCATAATGTGTGTATGATGAACATTACAACTGACTTCTACCAGCCTGGCCTTAGTTTTCTGTAGATATTGCATCTGTTAGACCACAAATGTGCAACCTCAGCTACAGGCAATGAGCACATGGAGACTCAGAGCAGCTGTTTGCACGAGGAAGGTTTCTGGGAAAGGGGGAAACCTGTCTGGGTTCAGACCCTGACAGGATGAACCAATAAAGCATATTCCTGACTGTTATCAGCTCTCTCAAGGCCTGTAAGGCCAGGAACATTCATTTACCTGGCACTGTCCCTTCCAGACAGTGTTGCAGCATCAATAGCCCATCAGTCAGGCAGCAGCTCTGCCGGGCCACGAGCTCCCCAGCACCCTGCACACAGCACTGCACAGGGTCTCCTCTCTGTTACTCACTCGCATGCCTAACTCGATGTTTTCTCCTCCATACACCTCCATGCCAGGGTCAAGCAGGCCAATCTCTCCAAAATACTCTCGGTCCACCACAAAAGAGCATCCGATCATGGCTGGTGTCCTGCACGGAGAGATTAAAGCAACAAATTAAGCCATTGATTAGCTCCTACAGACCCCACCTCGTAACAAATTTACACAGATTAAACAGTTCTGAGTCTTCAAGTTTATATTCTAAATTTACCTATTAGCATCAGTCACAATGCACTTCATGTATGCAAGAAATTCCTGTACTACTCTATTTGGTGCTGTAATTTCTGAAGGCTTTCTGTTGAATCATTCTCTAGTTAGAAGTGGTCTCAAAGCTCCACAAAAACCACACAGGGTCCTGGATACTCCTGGCTGGGCACTCCCATCCTCTATTGATGCATGTATTTATACACCAGGATCTTTGCATTTATAGATTCAAGTTAATTGATAAAATACATCTTCCTGATTATATTTCCCAGAGCCAAGCCTGGAAACAGATTTGCCTAAAAAATCTGAGAGCTCTCCCATACACAGGATGAGACATTTCCTATATACATCTTGATTTCACATCTTGTACCACTGAAAAGCATATCTTAGACTAACAAGGAATAAATTTGGTCTAGGAGCTAAACTAAAAGAAGGATGCAACCAAGGTAAGGAAATTCAGTACCTTTGCAATGAAATAAACCTTGGAGGGAATATTTCAGGTATATTTTTTTAAAATTTTACCTATGATAAAAGAGGAAAGGAGATGGGGGGAAGAAACACACACCACTTGTTTCATTTTACTTTTCATGTATTTGAAGCTGAACACAGGCTTCACTGGATCAAGGCATCACTGCTTTGCAAAACTGAGATTCTAGTTTGGGGTTAGACTCATTATTTTTCCAGCCCTGCCTCCCACACAAAAATCCTCTGGAGGCAGCTCCTTACAGGAGTAGGATGCTCCCATGAGGATGTCTCCTCCCTTTCTAATGAGGAATGGTACTGCCAGGCTTTGCAGACCACTCTCAGGTGCTGGAATCTCTCTCTCTGGGGGATGGATTTCTGCAGCTATAGGCTCTGTCCATTAAAACATTGAGTTGTTAATTGAACAGGGGTGGGAAATACATTTTAGATGCAACTACATAATCATCACTCAGAGATGAATGCCACTGAGGACTGTCTTTGCAACTCCCTCTCTCCCTTCTAGGGTTTATTTCTTCTCATTACATATATTCAAATACAGACTTCACAAGCCTTCACAGCTTTTTCAGAAGAAAAAAAAAAAAAGGTTTTCAGGAGCAAGCAACAACAGCAGAACAATGACAGAAGGAACCACATCCAGATTTTATAATTTTATACTGGACTACAGCATCACACTGACATATCGCGAACACTTTTCAAAAAATGTGCTGAAAAAGCTCAAGGCCCTCACTTGGCATTAGAACTGGATTTTTCTAGTACCTGAAATACTCTGGTACATCCACCACTTTTAGTGCAGTGCAGCAGATTCTCTTGAAAGCTAGAAATGGCCACATGAGCAAAAGCAGCTGTGTTAGCTCCTCTTACCCCCAGCTCACTGCCCAAGGGGCAGCACATGAGGAGGTGAGGGCCCTCAGCACTTCACAGCTTCAGAGCACAACCTGCTTTATAAAAAACAACCTTTTCCCTTAATCATGCACTCTCCAGTAAAACAGAGACACTTCTAGAAGGAGAAAACAGCAATTAGAAATGTACTATTTTTTACCAACACCTCAAAGGTGTTGTGAAACTTAATTGATCTGTTGAATATTCTTTGACACAATGGAGGATGTTATAAGCATTAATTATAATCAACAGCAGCACTCAAAGGATAATGTGGGAAACACAGCAAAATGGGTTTTGCAGCTAAAAGCAGCCTAGAATGGTATTGATTCTGCACTGGAGAAAGATACAGCATAGTCAGCTGGGGGGAATTACCTGATAGCACTGCTGTAGCGAGGAGACATGAGAGAAACACTGCTGTGGGTAATGCCCTGGGAAAGGGAGGAAGCACAGAGGGGCTTCTGGAGCTGAACTCCCCATCCCTCCCTGCCTGTGGCAGCAGGAAGAGAGGCCCTGTGTGGGCAGGGCAGTGCCTGCCATGGGATGGGACACAGGGAACAGAGGGCACGCTGGCCACGCAACAAAGGCATTTGCTGCAGATCTGAGTCAGGACTATTTTGTGTCAGTGAGATCCCCAGGAGCACAGCTCTGTTGGTAAAAATTCCAGCAGGTGCTGACACCTATTTCTCCAGCCAGGTGCATCCCCCTCCTTCCCCTTCCTGCAGGGAGATGCCTGGGGGCTTCATCAAGAGCCAGTGAAGGAGAAAGGGATGGGGACTAAGCTGCATGTGATACAGTCAGTCTTCCTCTGCCTTATGCATCTTTCTCTCCTGCCTTAAGGTCAGCATATATTTATATATATTCATTTATATATACATTTATATATACATATGTGCACAATGCAATCAGGTCACATTTGAAACAGTTTCCTGAGCAGCCAACTGCAACTTCCAGAAAAACTGACAAATGCTCGCAATAAATACATAAATTCAAACCCAAATAGAAGCATAAATAAATATATAAGCATAAATGTCTACATACAGGCATACTGAGAGAGACAAGGAGTTTCAAATAGCACATCACACGTCATATCTCTGAGTGTTCCACCTCTCCCAGCAGGATGTTTCTTTGATTCAGGTTCTTAAGCAGTGCCTCAGCCCTGGTCTGACATGTAAGTCAGGAAACCTGCATGGCACCTGCAGAAGTATTTCTATTTCTCCTACAACTCATGTCTTCTGTGAGGAAGAGTCACACCAAGCCCGGAGAACAGAACTCAAGGACAGATTGGCTGCTCAGGAGATACAGGGGGAAAAAAATGACAAGATGACAAGCTAATGCTCCTCTAGAAAGGCAGAGCAAATATGGATGTAGAATAATTCTCTGATGCCTTATGGGAGTAAATTTTTTGGAACAGGCAGGATACCCCTCAGAACCCAGACAAATAAAAGTGACACTGCTCTGTTACAGGCTCCTGTGAAGCAGAAACTGAAAAGATGGCTATAAGCAGCCAATAAACACCCACCAGTTTTATTATTACATGGCAGCATGGTTTATCATGAAGGACTTTAGCTCCTAAGCTCAGGTACACAGGTGGATTTCTTCCCAGCCCAGACTGGTTTCATCAATATTGTTATTGCAGACCAGCACAGGGCCTGGCTTGCACGTGAGATGGGCATACACACCCCCAGATAGAGGAAGCAGCACACAACACTTCACTGGGGGCACATCAAACTCTAATTTATGTCCATGAGCAAGGCACTGGTGCTTTCTGAAGCAGCTGATGCAGTGCATGTACGTACACATCCCTACTGGTACCAAGCTATGGCATATTAAAGCAGTAAATGAGAACATATGCAACAATGAAATGCACCACTGCTGCTGGAGGAAGATAAAATGGAAAGCTGTGCAGCGCTTGGCTGGGTGAGGCTGACTAATGACTCTAATGTTGGTGGCTGCTGATCAAGGAATCAAATGCAGAGCAGTCCGTCATAATCACGGCAGGTGAGGGAAGACAAGTCAGAGCCAGAGCTCAGAATACCAGAAACCTTCCTTGCTGTTCCAAAACCCAGAAAATAAAAAAATATACAGCACACATTAAAAAACCCAGCTTGTTTCAATGCATAGTCAAATTCATCAGAAGCCCTCTGAAATAGGCTCCTTTGTTACACAGTTTGTTGCCAGATGATAAGGACGTTTTGGGGCAGCGTGCTCGCAGGAACACAAATGGAAAATGACGCGATGGACACAGCGTGTCAAAATAACAACCCTCATTTAAATCTTCACATTACAGACATCTTACATCTCAAATGTCAAACATGTAAAATGGATTGCCTGCAGAAGCCAACTCGGGGAACATCAATTGTTCTGAAGCTCAGAGTATTAACGTGCGGGGGAAAAAAGAACCGACTTTAAAGTGAAGAAATCAGAAATCTTTACAAAATCTGACACTTTGTTCTTGCTATTTCTTTAGCTTTGTTAGCACTTCAAGGCCACGTCCCCTTTGTCACTTAGCTCACAACAGCTGATGTGACATTTTATGGTGCACACTTGACATGACTGCCCAAGAGTACAGGACACTGGTGGGAAGGACAGTTCCTGCTCTTTCCCAGCAAGGCTGAGTAGAATCACACCAGTGTCAGTGTTCAAGAAATCAGAGAATCAGGTTTCAAATAGAAAAATTCTTAGGAATGAAATACATCCGTTGTGTAGTCCCAGAAGAAAGCAGGAATTGGACCCTGCTTTCCAAACGCCTCACTACATTCTGCACATCGATGATATTTATTCATACAGTACAAACATGAGAAATGCCAGGGCTCTGATCCTCACTGAGACCAGGGTACACATGTTTTTAATGCTGAAAATCTCGAATCCCTTTGGAGATCTGTCAGGAAATATTCAGCTACAGCAACCACAAAGCCAGTCACAGGGTTATTTATTACCAGCCTTTCCTTTCACAAAACACAGAGAAGCACAAACCAAACCCACTACATGCTGTCAAAGAAAGCCTTAAGAGGATCAGAGTGAGGAAGGACTAAATGAACTTGCAGTTTTCATGCTGATGAGCAGCTTTGCAATCTTATAAATGCACAGGACAAACACATGGATTCAAACACCGTTAAAGTGCATCCATTTTCATGTCCTGTAAAGTGAACTGAAACAGGAATCATAGTTGTAATATGTGGTTTGGAATACTGGTTACAAGACCAAAACCTGTACCAAACCAAGAGTCACATCTGAGATTTTTTTAAAAGTTTGCTCACTAGCCTGACTGCCTTCCTTTTGAAAACACACTTTAAATACTCCACAGCTACTAAGCTCCCACTATGACTGCTTTTAAATCTCAATCCTAAGGACAGGCTTCCTGATTGTTTTCATCAATAACACAGTCACTCTTTCCATTACCATAATTACACTTCCCTGTCACTTAAAAGCCACAAAATCACATTATATTTCCACAGGCAGGAACAACACAACAGCCAAATGCTTTAGCAAATCCATCCAGGTGCTACAGCTTCAGAGGCCCCTCAGCACACCAGTGTAGCCATAAAGTGGATGTCCTGCTCTCCTAAATCCCTGCCTTCAAAGAACTTGTGCCCAGGGGGACATGGACGTGTTCATGGTTCCATGTGGATGTCCCTGCGTTTTAGGACTTGCAATTCTTAATTTGCAGAAGAGGTGCTTAGGCAGACACAGCGTGTCAGTGCTCCTGATATTTGCCAGCAAGGGTTGGGTTTTCTCCTCCTTCTGCTGCTTGTCTCACCTGTCTCTGGGCAGTTTATGGACTCTTGAATTGGAGGGGTTCTTCATTTGGGTTTGGGATAAAATTGCTGCTCTTTGGCACCAGCTACTCACGTGCATCAGATTTTAACCCAGCCCAGTGCTTGAGTTTGGATTTATTCACTTCTGTGTCAGTCCAGCTCAGTGCCAGCATAACACCAGCAAGAGCCTGAACATAAATCTGAGGAAGTCCATGGTAAATCAGGCCCTTAATTGCTGAAGTTTAACCTCTTAGTTCAGTCTTATCTCTTATGTGATCATTGTCTCCAGAACAGAAGATACTCAAATACTGGAGCAATCTGTGGGAAAATTACTGCAGTGATTTCACATATAAATTGTGAGTCATGAAGTGTGCAAAACCTTTCAGGACTGAAAGCTTTGGATGAGTAATTTTCCTTTATCAATAAACTTTCTTAGGGCTGAGTGAAACAGGTATAAAACATCTGCACTTCTAAAACAATGTGAGGTGAGCAGGGTGTGTTATCCAGGAAAACTGATTTCCTAAGTAATTACTTCCCTGCTTATTGAGGTTTCAAGCCAAGCAAAAGGTCAGTGATGATGGACTGTGCTGTCCTGTAGTACATAAGGTTAATATTACTGTATAGCTTTGTTTTGCAGTCACAGGGCATGAGAATGAACCTGAGTACAACTTGCAACACTTGCTCAAATACAGATTAAAATATTACTCTGCATAAGGGAAGGATCCTGTGAGGTGGTTCCATCCCACTGATCACTTAGAAATGGGACCAGTGTCAGTGTCTTCACTTCCAAAAGATGACTTGCATTTTGCTCAGAAGGGTGTGCTGTTTGAGGGGCCTGGATGAACTTTTCAGGATCCCTCAAGCTTTGCACTGGAAGGGAAGTACATCAGCTCCTCTGCCAGAGCCCACATTGGGACCATGCAGTAGAGTTTTACCTTATTTCAAGATGAAGCTGTCATACATGAAAATGAAGATGACTTTAAGGTGGTAATTTGTGCTCCTCTTAAGAAGTCTTAAAAATAAGAGTATCCTAAAGTGCATACTTAGGCTTCAAATTTTTAGCATTTATTTCTAGAGTTGGTAACAACAGTACCCTTAACCCAGCAGAATATGTCCCAGAGGAGCTGTTAGACAAGCATCTGGACTGGAGATGAAAATCTAGATGTGAATATTCAAATGAAGGGGAGAGAAAGCCCTTTTCACATCAGTTCCAGTTTTCCACTGTAACACTTCTCAGAAATACCTTCACAATTCCTGTCACAGCATTTCCTCAGAAAATTCCATTTCTGCAATGTAAAATGTTCTCTTATAGGGAAAAGTAAACTGACACACTGACTGCATGGTCTGGTGTGGGTTCATTTTAAAATTCAACCAGCAGGAAAACTCTGAGCATGTGCAAAGTTCTTAAAAAAAACCCAAACCAAAAAAACCCCAAACCAAATCAAACCAAAACAAACAAAAAACCACCACAACAAAAACCCACCAAAAAAACCAACACAAAAAAATCCCAAAGAAAGGAAAAAAAGAGCAGCTCTCAAACACAGCCCCTAGTGGTGCTCCTGGGTTTGGACTGATGGCTGAGACTGCTGCCCACAGAACAGGACTGAAACCAGCCTCTTTGCAATCACACACAATTCCTTTGTTTCTCATACACACAATGGACCAGAGTCCACTGGAAAATAAAAGTTTGGATGAAAAGGACCCTGCTCTCCTACCAATGGCCAGAACATGTGCTTGAAGCACACACTCAGAGCCAGAGGACTTGTGTACGTTGTGGGGCAGCTCTGAGAGGCAGCACACGCATCCACAGCCATCAGAGCAAACAGAGCCATCCGTTTTCTCCAGCCTCGCTTTGTTATTCCTGCACAATAACAGGAATTTATTGTGGCCTCGTTCACCCGAATTCCCCCCGGCAGACAGCTGAGATGGAAACATCGCTCGGCCCGAAGTGACAGCACGGGGGAGATTTACCTGATGGGAGCTGACTCATCCCCTTTATCGAGCCAGTCCTGTGGTGGGATTATGTACATGCACCAGAGCCCCCAGTTGTAGCCGTGGGCTGCGTTGGCGTATTGCTGCACTTCAAACGTGTTGTACTTGATGTTGTCAATCGCGGGCAGGATGATCCGCTTGCGATCCTCCTTGATCCGGGTAAGCGCAGGTTCCACCCTGAGAGCAATGAAAACAGCACAATGTTTTACAGCCACCCTGTAATCCTAGGCTGATAAAGTGAGGTTCCCTAATCCTGTGAGCATCAGCCCAGCGAGATGGAAAGCCCAGAGCACGGCAGAGAGGGACAGGGTACGGATCGCAGGCACACGTAGCATGCAGCACCTGCAGGGGAATTACCACCTCTGGGAGGCTGTGCCTGAGTCTAACAACACAAAATTTGACCAAACACTTATTCTGAGGCCTGGAGACTGTTAATTCATTTCACAATGGACAAATGTTGAGAGACACCATCACCGATAGCAGCTAAATGGTCTCCTACTGGCTACACCACCAGGATTCCTGGTAGCAATTAAATACTGGCTGACGGGGCCTGAAGAACTAAGCACACCAGGGGCTGCACAAATCTGAAGGTTACTCAAAGGTTTTAATCCTGTTTCCCAAGACTGACCCCATCACATCTAGTTTGAATGACAAATGTGGCTGCATTATGCCTTCTAAAACCTCTTTGGTGATGAGAAGATTTCAGGTGCCAGATGGTGCAAAAGCAGCGAACTGCAGGAAATGTTCCATCGTTTCAAAAGGCTTTAAAACATCAATGTGCTTTCCACAGAAGCTACATCCCAAAAGGAAAGTATAAAGCTTCAGTGCAAACACTCGTTTCTGACCAAGGTAGTCTGAGTTTGTTATGAATTTCCAGAGAAACTGATCCAAAGAGATAGCAGACTTACATAAGGGTGGAAAGAATTCCTCAAAGCAGTAGTAGAAAGGGCCACTGGTTCACTCCTTTGTAAGTGTGCTTCCCCTTGAAATGTGCTTTGAAGATTTTATAGAAATTCACATGGATCTTTAAGGGAATGGTGGTTTGCTGAGACTCACACAGGTAGGAGGATTTGAACACTGATCTTTTCTCACTTTTCTTTTGCTGTTGGTCTGAAGGCAATTGCTCCTTTGTGGTTTCAAGCTTGTTACCTCATATTTTGTTTGTTATATTCAGTTTGTTACCATGAATTTTCTTGTGTAGGCCAACAGAAGTGACTGTATATGGCTCAGACTCTCAATCCATATGGGTTTTAGGCCACACTTGTGCAGCCCCATAGAGCCAGTATGACCTACCAGATCTGGATAAGCCTCTTCCATCATTACTATGAGATTATATTTATGAGATTAAGTGTTTTAAAAATCAGTGGGTGGGAAGCAGAAAAACTCTTGCAAATCCAACAAAGCAGGGACAAATGCAGAAAAAGCTGAATCTGCTTTGTTCTTCCCATCACGTTATCTCTGCTCAGCAGCAGAAGAAAACACAGAACGATGGACATGCCATCACTAATCTGGTGACTCCATGCATGGACACAGTAATCCTTGGGCATAAAGCTATCCTATTCCCTTCTAGACTACGAAACAAAGGATTTCAAAACACCACACAACAGGTACAGGTGTCACTAATTGTTTGCCTGACTCCCATGGCATGAACAAATTTATTATGTTTGGGTCTGACTCCCAGATCTGCCCTGCGAAGCAGGAAAGCTGCTGGCATGCCTTCTGAAGCAGAAATCTGTACGTGGGTTTCTTTTGTAAGAATCAAACTCTGTCACTCATTACTGACCAATTCTGGAAACAGGTCTTTGACAAACAAGGAAAGACTGGGAGTTTTCCAAACTACTTTCATCTCTCTTGGTGGAAATTCTTTGGTCACCGAATCCTCAAGTCCTCAATTAATGGCATGTTTGTATTATACAAAGCAATAATAACCATCATACTCAAAACTATCCTGGAGGTTCCATATCCCTTCTACAGTTCCTCCTGGGGTGCTCATTTTTCAAGTATTTGACTTTGTAGGGTAGATTGAGACTGTGTAATGGAAAAGCTGAAAGAAGATAAGGAATTCTTCTCCCTTAATGTCAGATACCTGCAATGGACTCCCCACATGCACAGTAATTGCCTCCAACTTTCATTCTCAGCAGAGAGAGGCAGAGGCTGGCACTTTTATAGTCAGATGCTTCTCATAATAATGTAGACACCGAAACTGGGTGAGATTAATAATGTTCCAGAGGAGCCTATTTTGAATATTAAGGGAATTTAGCCTGCTACTTTGCGAGACATCTTAAAATTGGACTGCTGAAGTGTATCTCAAATAATGGTTAGAGAAATAATGTGAAGAAAATATTCAACAGTCACACTGGTTTTCTGCCCTTAATCATATTTGTGATTGTGTTAATCCAATACTTGAGTCTTGGAAATGCTAACCTGGGTCCCCATTTTCTTTTTTACATGAAGAACAATCCATTCCCAGCTCTGGTGCTGCTGTCACACAAACTATAACCAACCTACTCCTGTCATTACACCTGAGGAATTTCTGTGTTTTCCCATTTGTGTGGCTCACATTTATTACTGCCTGACATGGTGTTTTGCATCTGAATGGAACAAGAGGAGATCTCTGGAATGTAATACAACAGCTGGGGTCAAAATACATTATGAAATTCCATTAATATATATCAACCTATTCATGTGAAATCACAGATTCTGAATTTTCATGAAATTCAAGGCATCTGTAAGCTGTCCATGTGATGGAAGTTCTGTTTAAGTCCTCTGCATTCAAGAAATGTAAATATTTAAGATATTACTGCTTCAACAAGAGTTGATTTCACTACCCTCAGGTTACAGATGAAGTCAAGTGCTGTGCCAAGGTTATGGAGTCAATTGCTATGAAAGCAACTGCTGGAACTTTATCTTCTAAACCCCCCATCTCACCCATGGAGGCGATTTCCTAGCTCTCTTGGTATCCAGACGTGTGGAAATCACATCCCTGCATGTATTAGGAGCAGGAAATATTCAGTATCTGGACAGACTGCACAACCACCCAACTTCCAAAATATTTTCACACCCACAAGTAAGAAAGTAGGCTCTGAGTCACAGATGGAAAGAGAAAATCCAGGACAGAGCTGCTCTCTTAGCAAAAACGCAGAATGGAGAGCTTTTTAATTAAACATTGCATACCTGGGAGATTTCACAGCCTGTCCTGCCCTATAAAAGACAGCAGAGAGAGCAGTGGAGTATTCAGAGGCTCAGCCCAAGCTCATCTCTGTGAGATCTGCAGGAACACTCAAATCCCAGATCCTGCCAGCGGCCTCTCACTGCCAACGCTGCTCGTGGGCTGTTTTTCTGCCTGCCAAGATCCCCAGGTAGTGGCCAATAAAGAAGGACTATGAGTTTGGACTGGGCAATGCACTGTGTTTGCACTGCTTATCTCGAGTAATCCATGGAATATGAGGGGGTTTCATTGCTATTCATGGCTAGCAAAGCCCAGCCTCAGAGTTGCTCTATAAGGCTGAGCTGAGATGCACATTCATCAAATCCTTTGTCAACTTCCCTGCTCACTCTGGCTTTATGTAATTGCTTCAGATTTTTTTAAAGAATTATTATTAAATCTTTCCAAGTAATTTCTAAATTTTTTTTCCTAATTTCAAACTGCTATATTATCGTGTAGATTTACCCATCCTCTCTATAGACATCTTTCCATGGTTTTTTTCTTTTCCACTTTGCCTCATTTTTTCTGCTATCCATCTGCAGAAGTCAGGTACTTGTGGGAGCTCTCAGGACTGAAAGGATAAGAGGGGAAAAGGTTGCTGAAGTCCAGCTATGTCCAACACGCTGCAATATGTGCTTGGAGCATTGCCTTTCCACATGCCACCGCTGGCAGCGAGGCAGGATTCAGCCCTGCCTGAGTAGGTGCATAAGCCAGGGGTGAATTTTGGGATCCATCTCCATTTTTCATAGCTGCAAAAATATTTTGGTTACTAGTTTGCATCTGAGTCAAGGTACCTTATGGGCAAAGAGCAACAGGCATTGTTAACAAATTATTTACTGGAGCAAGAGGGAAAGATCTCCCAGGCATATTCACAGACATGATGGATTTCAGTAAACTAAATATAATCAAAAGATTCTGCTTTAAGGGGAGTGCTTCACACCATCCAACTGGGGTTTTTTCCAGTTAATAAAAACCAATCAGACAGTTTGGACTGGAATTGGAGTAACATATGAAGATCCTCTTCCTCCCATCCTCTCTAAAACTATGTATTTGTCAGTGTCCTCCTCCTCTCTCTCTGGAAAGATTGCTGGTGAACAGATAAAACCAGAAGAGAAAGGACAATAAATTTAGTTCTCTTATAGACTCCATTAAGCTAAAGGGTATTTTCACTTCAATTTTATCCACTTTGATTTGTCCAAGTCTGTTGAGCACATCACTAATCAGCACATGCATTCAATGCTTTTGCCTACCAGAGGAAAGATTTCTTCATTAATAGCGGATTTTCCAAGGTGTTGAGCACCCATGATGACTTTATTGGGAGTTCCAGCAAGGCTGGTTCTGTGGGATTCAAAGAGTAAATGCTCCCAAGATAAACAGTGGAGGTAGGAAAAGAGTTGGAAGACAGAATTTAAGCCAGAGTACAGAATAAGCCTGTAAGAAGATTGAGAGCAAAGGCAGGGGCCATACTGTGATCACATAGGCCTCTCTAATCCCATTGTGAGTCTATCTCTGAACATATATGCATTCTGTATTTAACACTGGCTTGATTCAGAGCAGCTCAGACCCCACAGGAAACCACAGCAAACAAAAACTCTGTGTTGTCTGACGTCCTTATCAGATTGCGGGAGAATTCATGCCAAATGGAAAGCCTGTTTTTTCACAATGCTAAAAAGAACAGCTTCTTCCAGATAAAAAGCAGATAAAAAGAAGTTAGTAATGAGCTCCTCAGTGCACATGATTATATAATTCACCTTTTAAAATATGTAAAAACACCCGCTGACTTCAAGCAGACTTTAAAAAAAGCACAACATTGGAATAAATGCACACAATCCCAGGGAATCCACATGCATGCCGCAGGCCAGATCCTCTGCTGCCCAACTCTGCCACTTCAATGGCCTTCACAACTTCAGGGATGCTTTGCTAACATGCAGCATCTGAGAAGCAGACCTTACCTTCCAGTTCTTAGTTAGAA